TTTTTTTACAGATGTCCCATTGAAAATTATGTCAAAAAGCTGCAACTAACTTTACAGTGGTTTTTATTTTGATCAAAAAAAACGTAAAAACCAATGTCAGAATGGATTTCAGGACACCAAGAACCCCCAGATGTGCATTTGATGCAAAAAAAATTGACCCGCCCTAATGTATGTAAATACATTTTGGAACTATGGCAGAGCGATTTATCGCGATGCGGGCATAAGGGAATCCTTCGCCATACTTTAATGTATAGATGAAGGCATATGAAACAGGTACTCGCATTAGAGCAAACACAACATTTACGATTACTTTGTTGTTGCTTCTGGTAAATATCCCAAATGTCAGAAAAGTATTGCAATTTTTTAAATAACGTGTTAAATGTATAATTAAAAAAAAGACTGGGGCGACTTGGTAAATTTATTTACGTCGGAACATCGTTCCATCCTTTGCAAAGCCCAAAAGTTAGCGTTCGTGTTGCTTGTGTTCTATCGGTGATTTTAAGGAAATAAGATTTCACATGCAAATACAGTAATGGACAAAAGTTTCCGGCTTTACACCATACTAAGGTAAAAATATCTAAAACGGGAGCAAAATGCCACAAATATATTTTTCTGCAAAAATAGAATGAAGCGCCACATATCAGGGAAAAAACGGGATATGTATGTAATTAGTTCGAACCATTTAAACTAAATAATTTCACATAGTATGTATGTATGGATTAAGGCAAGTTAGTTTAGAGTTGGACAAAAGTATTCGGCATTCTTAATAGCATTTAACTAAAACTTCCTTAAAACTAATTTTAGTATCTAATCTGCATACCTTTTTATTTCATTACCTCTAGCAGTATATTTTGCGTGGTTTAGTGAGTTTTATGTGATTTTCCTTTATTTCCCCCATTCTTCAAGGATAGCGGCTAGATTTACATTACTCGTCGAATCGACGTGTGTTGTTTACGTATACAAAAATAAGAATCTGTAGGGTTCATTTTTCGGCGTGATATGCTTCCTTATATTTTTTTGAAGATCAGCCAATAAATTCTCAATTAGCAATTGCACTATTTTGACAAAGTGCTGCGGATTATTGTCCTGTTGAATCTAGAAGCCATTGCCTAAATCCAATTCTCGTACACTTTTCTTTAAATTATTTTTCTGGAAATTGAAATAATAGTTTTCTTTATTATATTTTCAACGAAAACTAGCTCATCAACGCCTGA